AGTTTTCAACACTATGAATTTCTATTTGAAATCTCTGGATTTATCTTGTCATTCATGTTTACACATCTAATAGTGCTAATATTGTGTAGCACTTGTGGCACCCTTGAAAGGATCTCAAGGCACCCCAGGATGCCAAGGCACCCCGGTTGAAAAATCACAATCCAAAGGTCAACACTCGTTTGCCTTAACTTCAAGAGAGCAAGATGGGAGATTCTAGAAATTACTTCAGCACTAAAATGCGGCTACTTCTTTGGAGGAAGACAACCAATTAATAACATAGCAGGACAACATCAGTTCAGGAACAAGAGGATTTTACGGTTTTCAAAATTTCCCTGAAGAGCTGGTACATACAAGTAAGCAGCACCGTGTGTCCAGAGGCAAAAAGTGATGACAACCACTCTTAGTGAAATGCAAAAAGGAAAGAACTAATTGAGTGTGAAAAAAATAATGTAGGTTAAAATGTTAGATTAATTAGGACTGGGGAGGGGGTGGCATGGGGAAAGGAATATAAAAGGCTTTTCTTTTCTCCTTTTTCAAATACAATAAGCATTAGATTCCTCTCTGCTTCAAGAGTGAAACTAACTGGTGACTGTGAACAAACAATAAAGAGTATCTAGTAATTTGCCTCTACTGCCACTAGAGGACAGACAACGTTGCATCAGTTCGGATATAATAGAAGAGTGACAGCTCTGACAAAATCACAACTTCATTTATTGTAAAGTATTAATACCATCATTAAAGGTGTGAAGTATAAACAGCAAATAAAATAACTGAACCACAGAGTACAGGGCAGTGTTTATCTAGGGGTGCACACACCCATAAAAATACAATATAGTAAACATTTATCATAACTAACTTTTTAATAAGATAACACAGTGCTATACAGTCACGGTCCAGACCAGAAGTAGGCAACCCCCACCACGTGTGCCAGAGCATGGCATGCAAAGGCATTTTGCTTGGCATGCACACCTCAGGGTAGACGGCAGGGAAGGGGCCAGGGCTGCACTGTCACAAGGAGGATCAGGTCCTTCGCAGCTCCCTCGCCGTCCACCCCTGGCATGCCAACATCTTGAAAGTCAAGGTTGCAGGGTTTCTTGGCACTCTGCCCCAAAACATTGTGGACCCTGGCCCAGCCCACTAATTAATCAAACACACCCGAGGGTCAGAATATTACTTTCAGCAGATGTGTCTGCGTTCCTAAAACAGTTGTTAAAATCCACCACTTTAGTCCCATTAAACAGCTGGAGATAACATTTTCAAAGATGTTCACTGCTCACCAGACTCTACCCCCACCACTGCTGAATGCATCTGAAAGATCTCACTACTGGGATTTACTAACGGTTCCCCCTCCTTGATTAAATCTCTGTGATAAGAATTGGACCTAAATTCCAAGTCTAGTGCATATTTATTCAGAGTGCCTGTAGTAGTAAAGCCAGGCATCAGAAAAGGGGAGTGGAGGCATGATCACCTATGACTTGTTTTGTGTGGAAAAAAATTGCAACGTTCTCCATATTTGACAGTTCGAAGGTAGCACAAAGCAGATTCGCAGCTGATGCAAGTGAGTTTAGTTTAAGTCACCAGAGAAACACCAGATGGCACTAGGTAAAAAAAAAAATCTCACCCAAAGTGAACAAACAGCCACTTAAGTGAAGCACAATTAGCACTCTGCTCTTGAGTTTCTTATCTCCATGCTGCTGACGCATCTCGGTGAAATCGTGGGCGGCTATCTCGAAATTATGGGCATTTGTACGCACACTTTTTTTCCAGCGATGTGCCAGAGATCCGCCATTTCAGAACAGACTCAATTAATCGAGTCTCCCCACACACAAGCTGAGGCGAACTGCACTGAGCCGTGTGCAGTTGTATAAGCGGTGACATGCACATCAGCGCGCAGAAAATGGCGGTGGTGTATTTTTGAACCAACACCTCCGAGGTGTTTTAGTTCAAAAAGTGCACTGCTGCCATTTTCTCAGCGCTGACGCGTGTTTTGCCACTTATACAAATGCACACATTGCAGTGCTGGGTGTTTTTCAAAGCGCCTGGCACTGCGATGCGCGCACACGTAAAAATGTCCATAGGTTTTGTGACTTAACAGATTCCCTAAGAATATTTTATGACATTTCTCTTGGATTTGATATTTTGTGAAAAAAAGGAACAGAAAAAATATTTGATATCCACAAATAGACTTGAGCGTAGAAGCTGCACTCTCAAGAGAAACAGCTCTTTCATTCTGGTAGAGAATGCCTCAATTATTCTATTAAACAGTAGACAGTCTCTATTGGAAAGCATAAAAAAATGATGTCAGTTTTGGAACAACACTACAATAAAGACTAGTTTAGTAATAGATGAAACTCATCTTACGTATTTTTAGTTACAGTCTGTTGCACACAATCTATAGCCCATGCTCAAGTGGTTGAAACTGATTCTACAGAAATAATACATGCAAATTCTAAGTTCCCACTGAAACTTTACCTACTAATTGCACAAATATACAGGGGACTCTCACTTACCCCAAGTCAGTCACTCAACAATTTAAGCCAACACAATAATTTCATGCTGGACAAAGTTATCACACAGGTTAATTCCCACTGACCCATGGGAAGTCCCTACCACTTAACTCCCCATAATTTGTTTGTTCATCCCTTGCCAGTTTACACATAACATTCAGTTTTTTCCATGTCTAAAAGGATTTGCAAGATCTGTTATTCCTAGAAATCATCTCATGAAAACAGTTCCCATGTATCCTTCTGCCAGGGGATGCAACACTGACTATACACACAACTGAAACTTCATTATACATGTGGACTAAAATGGAGTCTTCAAAATGACTAGCTTGAATGGTGAAGATTAGTTTTTAAGATTTGTTTTTCTGCTCTGTGTTATAGCATGTAAAGGCACAGGTCACCAAAACAACTTGCACTTCCCTTCAAAAGCCAACAGGTTTTCAGAATCATTACAAAAAAACTGGCCCACTTAAGCGGTTTAGTAACATTTTAGCGTCACTGTCAGGATGCATCATGTGATCCCTCAATGTGCAGTTACCTTCTCCAGATACACTGGAGTCCCAATTCCAACCCACTTCTATTACCCCATGAGTAGAGTTCAGAAATTCTACTGCAGGTACATGGCTCCAATGCCCGAAGGAGGAGAATCCCCTCTGTGGTTTTAGTGCAGAGGGACACCATAAAGACTGGAAGAGCTGCTCAAATCTTTTCCCTCACTCATCTTCCAAGTTTCAGGAGGCAATTCAAAACCAAGCAGGTAGTAGATCTTTTCATTCCATATTAATTAAGGGTAACCTGTCCCATGAGAGAAATCTATACGCGCAACAATTACCATTACATTCAGTTAATTATTTGAGGTGCCAATCAGTTTAAGTTTTTGGCCCATACACAGAAGAACTGACACATCTATTCAAAATTCAGTTGGACTGTTTAAAAGGAAACCCATTTAAAGAAATACACTCATGAAAAGCCACAAAATGCAAAGTGGAATTAACCATTTTGGTGTCAGAATGATTCCTTTTGATCTCTGTCATCTAGGATTTAACAGAAGGCTTTAGCCTAGTATAAACTGCTACCTTCATCCAGAGACACTATTCTAATTACCACTATAGGGGGTTATATGTTGGGACCTACTGAAATTGCAATTTTGCAATTTTCACGGAAACCGCGAAATTGGTAGGTCCCCCATGAAAAAGCCCGGTCCCAAAGGAAAACTGCAAAAACAGCCAGTGAAAAAAAGTGGAAGAAAAATGGAGCTGCAAACAGAAAACAGTGGGAATCCCTGGCATCCTGAAGCATAGGGGGAGGCAAGGGAGAGTTTCACAGCAGAGTGCAACATTGGCCATTTGGCCCTGAAAGTCATGCCCCTTCCCCACAGATTGACAGATGGTCAGAGGCATGGGGGAGGCCCACACCATACTCTGATGCAAAAATGGAGTCTGATACTGCACTGGTACTGTAAAATCATGTGGCATCCACCCCGAATTACGTCAGTCCCTAGTTACATGCTGAAGAACTACATCTCTCTATTTCAGTAGGGGTTTGCTGCAGAGAGACAGGACAGCGTACAACTTAATTTAACAGTTTCTTGGAAGTTAAGAAGAATTCTAAGAAGAACACTTAAAAAAAGAAATCAATAACAGACCTAATTTGGGTTACCACAATTGCAACTTCAGTCAGTATCAGTCCTCTCTCCCTTTGGAAAAGAAATCCCTATAAAGGATGATCTGAATTTGTTAAGTAATAGCCAGAATCAGCGTTCAACCTTTAACATTTGTTTCCTTTGGTTGGCTGAATACACTGATCTGGAGTGTTAAATATAAAGTTTAAAATATACTTTCTTCAAAACAAGTCATTTATAAAGACCAGCATATTTTCAGCTGTTCGAATGTTTTATTAAAAAAAATCCAAAAATTCCACAAAAACAAAAAGAACTCCCAAGAAAAGTCAATAGATGTTGTCAACATCATTTTTGCAGAGGTTTCTGTATTTCAGACTAGATTCAGTGCTACATCCACTCTTGTGGGTGCCAGACATGTCAAATGGGACACTAGAGACTGACATTTTTAGGAGTGGCATTTAGGCCCAAATGCAAGAAAGCTTTCAAATGCATGTACAATTTTAAACAATCTTAAACACATTCCTGAATTTAATAGCCTCTCTCCACCAAGGCACAGAGATTTCCAATGCATTAAGTGCTGCAAGGTGAGGGTCACAAAATAAAGGATGGTCCAGTGGTTACAGTTCTAGGAAGACTTGGGTTTAATTCCCTGTTTCACCACAGATTCCTGTCCACACTATTACAACAAACCTTGATGTGTATTAAAAAAAAACAACAACCAAAAAAAACCAGTGTGGTAGCAACCATTTGGTGAAATAACCTAACAACAGCATAACTGTCCAACCACATTGTGGCCAGTCAGCAATAATGTTTCTATCAAGACTTTCCACTGCAATTACAAAAAAAAAAGTGCATTTAAATAAGATGCTACTTACTTGGTTCTAGTTTCTTCAGATCCTCCAGTTTAAATTCCTCCTGTGACTGTGTAGACTAGGACATCATAAAGAAAGACAGCATTAGATTTTGGTATACATCCTTCACTATTACAGCCATCTCAGAAAGTGAATGCAAAGCAAGTCCCATCTTTATTTAGTCATATCAAGCTGTTTCAGAGGGAATCCTTAGAGCTTTTTATTTTCCCTTCAAGAAAAAGTTTTAATTCATATAAAACAAGAAGGTACCATCTACTCTAATCTCCGGTATCTAATTAATATCAGTATCACTTTAATGAACCTGAAGAACATAAGTTTGTCTTGTAGTCTGAGCCTGAAATGAGAGAAATATTTTCTGAGTATTAAAACTTATAACTAGACTGAGCATACAAGTCATCATAAGCAAGAGTATTGAGACAACAGTGGAAGTTGTTCTGAAGCCAAGATCATCCCTAATATTAAAGACTACAGGGGGTGATCCTGCATAGCAGGGCTGCTCAACTGGCTGCATGCACTCACAATCTGTGGTCCCTGGGTTCCTACCTAGTCATTGTTCTACCCATTGTTCTTGGCTCCCCCTCCCACCTCTGGCTTCCACTTCCTGCCCCCAGTCCAGGGGGAAGTGCAGCACAGCCTGCAGTACCATGGAAGTCCATGGCTTGGGAGGATGAGGCTGGAACGCCCTCACACTAGTGCATAGGGCAGCACCCATGGCTTGCATGAAGCATGACCCCTGCTGGTGCAGCTTGCAAGGCATACAGCCCTTGGCCACTTAGAAGTTGGACAGCCCTGCTGCACAGTATGGTGAGCACCTCAGCATCTGAGTAAAGTCAGCCTGAATTAGTACTCAATATCTTGCAAGATGAAGGCCACAGAACACAAAGTCATCCACTGGTCTTAAGGTTTCTTTAAAAATCAAATGGGATCTAGCTTTGAGTTTTCTCTGGGCCTCTCCCAAGTGTCAGCAAGGCCTGAGAGTATCACAGGTAAGAGTAAGACTCTGATGGATTGGGATTAGAAGACTATGCAAAAGTTATTTTGGGCCCAGATACATTACACAGCAAGTATAACTGCAGCATGCACATGGTTTCTGAAACTGAGGTGGATTTAAAATAAATAAATTAATTAAAAAAAAATCCCATGATCCTGACTTGAAACGGTATAAAACCCTTGAGTTACTGCCTGGGGAAGTGTGACTCGCTTGGCATAAACCCCAATGAAGGAAAGGATGAGTCAGGCCAGTGTCACAAAAACAGAGATGATTTCTTATTGCTCTAAAAAGTTCAAAAGGGCTTTGCATTCCAGCTTAGTATAAAGCTAAGTGACCAGGTTCTGAACCACTGAAATAGGATTACAGATTTACAACTCGCGGTGATTAACAGTGTTCTCTTGTCAGATGAGTTCTCTCTGGAGCAGAGTGTACTTTCAGCTTTCACTGTGCATTTCATTTGATACAGGTCAAAAAATGAGTGGGCTTGTTAATCTCCATCCAACTGTGCAGAAATGGGCCTCCTTACGCTACAATGCCATCACACAGTTTGAAACAGGCAGCAGTGACTGACTGTTCAAAAGCCTGTAGCCAACATGGGAGCACCAGCTGTTACAGAGACACTCTGCTGATCAGCAGCCAGTAGAGCCCCCTTGGAAGGAGAGAAAAGGAAAGCAGAGCACTCTGGACTGAGAATATGAAAGGCCCGCTGTAGCACTACATGCAACTGTCCACATTACACGTGGTGCTACAAAATCTAGCATACAAAAATTCCTGTTTGAAAGAGCCCTGCAGTCTTCATGCATGATCTATAGTACCGCAGGGGTGGCCAACCTGCGGTACATGCACCACAAGTGGCCCAGACAGCCTCTGTGCATAGCACACAGCAGACTAGGGAGGGGACAGACAGCACAACAGCAGAAAGCAAAGCAGCATGTTGGGCAGCGAACACAGGGCAGAAGATCAGGCAGGGGAAGGGGATCAGAGTGGAACTGTGGTGCTAATGTGAGGGTGTGGTGCTAATGTGTGGCACACCTGCCAAAAAGGTTGGCTCCCACTGTGCTACAGCATGCTCAAAGTCACAACAAGCAAACACAGCTAATATTTCAAATATTGTAAAACCAAAGGTTTTACGTTATAATTTTGACAAAGACCAGTGCTACTTTGCTGGCAAGAAACAGTTGTTCAAGGAATGATTCAACTCGTTCATAATATCTATCACATGGCCTCTAAATCACAATCTAGTGCAGCCCATATTGGAGTTCCTATTCTTTAAAAAAAATCCACAGTATTTTACTATTTAGCAACAATGCAAGATGACAAAAAGGTGATTTGAAACAAGTTGCTTGTTAGCATTTCACCCTTTCAGTACCCATCAAGCTTATGCAACCAGGACACAGCATTTGGTCAAAACACAGGAAGAAACAGCTTACTATTTCTAAAATGTTGCCAAATAAAGAGCGCCTGGGGGGCAGGGAGAGGGGAATAATTTTGATTGCCATGAATAGGTAACACCCTTATTTTAGATAAATAACAGGCAGATATAACCTACATTACAAGCTAATGACTCCCAAAAATGGGAGAGGTAGAAAATGAATGAAGTCCTCATCACCCCAATTTAATTTAAAAGAGCTCTCTCACTCCTTGCTTCAAAGACTCATAGTGTGAGACTTTGAGTTACCCTGTCTCAGACATTCTCCTACTATTGCTGCCAGCCCCCCCGAGGAAACTGTGCAAAATGCCTCTCCACTAGTCATTTTTACACTATGGGTAAAGTGCTTTCTAACTGTTTAGAACGCTAGCATGAAGACAACCCAGCACATGAAAAGGTCACACTGATGCTGTTTTGCCTGGGGGTTTTACCCACAAGGGCAGAACACCAGCACCATCCTCCCTGGGAACAATATGAAGCGAGAAGCAATAGTAAATATGTGGTCTGCAAGTTCACACCCACTTAGACTGCCGTGCACATAGATCCCCATGGCATTCACAGGTTTTCAGGCACCCACCCAGTAGTCTTAGATTCACAGGTTGGAAAGTCCTAACATTCAGTACCCTGAATTATGTCTATGTATGGAAACGCACTACCCATTTTCTCTTTTCATGCTATTGAAACTGAATTTCTAGAGCTATAAAATCATCTATCATTAGCGAGTCAATTTCTTCTGATGGCACAGACCAGTTTTTCATATAGAAGTACATCTTCCCACATTCATGGCTGATATTCATCAAAACCTATAAAAAGAAGAGACTGGGAAATGACAGGGGAAATAAATTAAACAACTATACCTGCAAGGCTGCACTTCGCAATTCCAAGCATGTTGCTATTTTAGCTATGGTTTTCTGTAAAGAGAAACAAAATGACTTTATTCATTTGACACTGAAGTCTGCAGGCTACACCACTGACAAAGAAACCCCCTTCTTTAAAAACAAACTTATAACACTTGCATTAAACACCAAAAGATTTCTACTGCACAATCTTAATGGATACATATCAAACTACATTTTTGTCTAAAAACAAGCACAAGCCAAGAATACTGAAAGTGCAATGGATGCTGCTATTCAAACATCTGTAATTGAACTCCTTTGATACAGCTCCTTGATATGAAAAAATGTCGAGACTGAATGAACTACAGAGACTAGGGTACAGCTTCCCACACCAAGTTGCTTATAAACCTAATTACTTTGGGAGTGATAAGGGATGTAATGGAACAACAATTTATCATCTTCTGAAATGATTTGTTCCAATCTGCCCTTCCAGGAATCACTGATTTCCCACCCTGAGTTTAGGAAACCAAAGTACCCAGTGGCTTTCCAATGCGAGGCACAGGCAGGCAATCCCTCAGAAGCAGGCCTGATAGGCCTGCAGCATTTTTTGCTCATTTCTTACTCTAAAAAACTTCCCTTAAACAAAATAATCTACCAGTGAGGGCCCAGAGACATAGACATGGGCACTTGATGAGACCCAGGTGCCCGTGGCCCAACTGCCACAGGGCCACCAAGATGATCAACCACCTCCTCTGGCTCTGCACCTGTGCCCAAGAGGTATGGAAAAGGGTGAAGCAACTCTGCGAAGTGGTGACCAGCATCAACCAGCTAGCCAGAGAAGTGGCGCTGTATAGGCACTCGCCAGACACCAGGGGAGCCCAGTGCCCCATTTCGACCAGTTTGCGTCCTGCGTCAGGAGTGCCCTGTGGAAGGCTAAGAACCTCCTGTTGCACAAGCAAATAGATGTAGAGGTAGCGGGCTGCGTGAAAACAGCTCCAAGTGAACTCTGGACCTATCACCAGAATCGATATTGGAGGATGTCGCCCAAGTCACCTGGCACAGAGACATGTGGCACAGGATCATCCAATGTCCCCCAAGCGGAGAAGGGGGCGGTGGCAGCGAAGAAGAGGAAGGGACAAGCAGAACAAAGGACAGTGACTGCAGCAGCGGGTCCTCTAGCAGGAGCTGGAGCGACAATGACAGAGAGGACACTTGAACTGAGTATGTGACCCCACAAGCAGGGCAGCAATGGAAAGGAAGTGTTGCCTAGTCTGAGGGACCAGGATGTGATTATTTGTTTTGTGTGTGTTTCGTGCGATGCAGATATTGTAATGAGTTTGTGTGGCCAGAGGTCCTTTGTATGGGTGTGGGTTTTTTTTATAATGGGTGAAAGTTTTCTTGTGTGTTGTGAGATGAGGAGTGTAGATAGAGATATCTCGATCTATAGATATCTCTATAGATTTTTACAACCCCCCCCAAATCTTTTATGTTCTTGCTCTTCATCTTTCCTTCACTTATTTTAGTTGCAAACCAATAACTGACATACTTAAGGAATAGTAGAGGTATAGGTGTTCGAGTGGAGTCTTGAAAAAATGGACATTTACTTTTTAAGATGTCTAGACTGTACAAGAATTTAACTTACTCCACCTTGAAAAGCCCACTACTCAGAAACCAGCAAAGTTATGTTGCACACAAGCAATGTTTGTGATGCTTTGGTAGAATTACAATAGCAAGCATTTCCCAAGAGACGGGTGTCCGACATACAGCCTGCAGAAGCAGGTCATCTGGCAAACGGGGCTGATCAACACAGCTAGCAGAGCTGCCATGTCGGCACAGCCACCACTCAGGGGTTAATGACACTGCCCAATTCACGGTTTTAAATCAGGTTGGCATTAACAGAAGCAGCATTAACCCCCTAAATGCTGGCCACACTTACAGCACAGCCATGGTGAGAAGCCCTGCAACCCAAATGACCCACTCCCTGGCTGCTGGGAAGGAATATGGCCCACTGATGTAATTTCAGTTTGACAGCCATGCCCTAAGCAATCTCAGCTTGTCTATCTGTGGATGAAAAAGCAAGAGCTGTACATAAGACCTTCCACAAAGATGAGTCTTTCTATTTATCATCTCCTTCAGATCTTTCCCCAACCTGTCCCTTTCAAAAACACATTATAGAAGGCTGGAAAGAAAACCCCATAGCAAACGATCTTCAGTACCACCAGTCTAAAAACATGCTACAGCCAGGATGCCCATGAAGCCGTACAATCCAGCCTGTGGGTCACTGGACTGACCCCATGCACCAGCCCTAGCCCTAGCCCCATGTTCTGCATGCAGCACACAGGCTGGACTGGCCATGTGCACTGCACACACCAGGGCATCAGTGGGCAAAATATGGCCTGCAGGCCAGATCTGCCCCACCAAATGATTCTATCCAGCTCATGGCTGCTCTTCTAAAGGAGAACTGTATCCAGCCTGTGGGTGCCCTAACTTTGGGTGCCCTTCTCCCTTCCCTTTCTGAAACCAGCTACAGCAGCAGCTCTGGCTCAACCTGGAGCTACTCTCCTCTCTGGCTCAGCCCACCCTGCCCTGCTCCCCAGGCTCCAGCATAGGTTGCAAGGCAGGGGACACTAAGCTTGGTGAGCCTGCCTGTGCACAGCTCCAACCCTGTGGCTATTCACACATTAGACAGTCCAGCCCTTGGCAAGAGTTGAAGCTCAGATATGGTTCTACCAGCTGGTGGGTGAGGGGGTGCAGGGGGAAGAGGGCCAGAAGCTGTGGGTTATCCAGACCCTGCTGGGCCAGCTTAGGTCCTGGTAGGGGTGTGGGTGCTGCTAATGCCATGCCGCACTGTGTTTCCGTGTGCTGCTTCAGGCAGTGCCACAATGGCGCAGCTGGAGTGGCTGACGTAGCTCCTACCTGACCCTGGCATGGCTCCTGCCTGACCCCGAGTCCCCAGCACATGACCAGATCAGGCAGAAGCCACGCCAGCCATTCCAGCTGCACCCACATGGCTTGAAGCGGTATGCGGGAGCACAGTGCAGCACCAGCCTGGCTCAGCCACATGATGGGGACTTGGGGTGGGGAGGGGCTGCAGGGAGGAGGAACATGCTAGCCTTGCAAGGCCTAGATAACCTGCAGCACTCGGCCCCACTTCTTCCTGCACCCTGCCCCCCAAGCAGGCGGATGGTGCCACATTGTGTTCCCACACATTGCTTCAGGCTACATGGGTGCAGCTGTTGCAGCTCCTGCCTGACCTGGACACATGCCAGGGACTCAGGGCAGGGAAGGAGCTGCAGAAAGAGCAGCAGGGAGCTCGTGCATGTGCCCACGTGAGTGTGTGCATGCACATGTGCATGGCCTGCAACAGCTCACCAAAACTCGTTACGTGACCCTCCTGCCCAAATAACTGCCCACCCTTGGCACAGAGCATGCGCTTATGCAGCACCCCACTGGACTGGCCCTGTAAGCTGGCTCCAAAGCCACACCAGAACCAGCAAAGGGCCAATCTAGCCAGGAGTCACATGCATGCTGTCTCCCTGGACTGTGTGCAATGTGCACTGCCACTCCAGCCCCATGCATCTGGCCTCAGGGCTGGTGCTACCCATGTTGTGCAGGCTGGACCTGGCACTACACGTGGCACAAGTGGTCCAAGGCACGGGCTGCATGAGGTACCCCAAACCAACCCCCCCATACTGCTTCTAGTGCCAGGTCCAGCTCACAAGCCACGCGTAGCATTCGCCCTGTGCCAGCCCCACATGCTACATATACCGCAAGCCCTGGGGTCAGTGCATGATGGGTGTGGAGCGTAGGCTGGACCTGGTGCTGCAGGGACAGCACAGGGGGTCAGTCGCAATGTGGCCCACAGATTGCAAAAGATAGTGAGGCTCACGATAGTCCTTGATTTCAGTAGGAGATCATTCCACAATCTTTAATTGGCACTGATAAAGTTTTGTCTCCTTGACATCTAAACAACAACTACCACACATTAGAGAAATCTAGGGGGGATAAACAGATTGGAAATCTTTGTCTCCCAAATGATTGTGCCTAAGGGCAAAGAAGCATGTTCATTCCTCTTTAGCATATACTTGGAGACATTTAGCTAAGGAGGTTCAACATCGATCCATTTAATTTGATTCACAGCAGAATTTCAATCCCAGGGCCAGCAAGGCGTGTAGATGACAGCAGTTCTAAACAAGCAGCCTGCCAGCTCCAGGAAAAGATGTTTCAATCCCTCTAGTCAGCTTAGCAGTGGCACTGGAAACTCCCTACAGTTGAAAACAACTCAAAAATCTGCAGAACTCCCTTCAGGAAAAGAATCTCCCAAATGTAATTCTAAAATGATCACAGAGCCAACTCTTTCTAAGGTCTGGGGTGCCAAATGGGGAGCAGAGAGTCTGCCAAACCAGTGTTAGATTAGGGCTCCTAGTTATACTGGAGGGCGAGGACAAAAAGCTTGCAAGATGACCAACACACTAAGGATCTCCTGCACTGTGCAATGTCGGCAGAACATATAAACAGAATTTCTCTCTGCTCTTCCTCATGTTGTCATGCACATGCATCATTTACATCAGGGCCATGATCTAAATGAAGTTTTATAAAATGTAGCTTAACTCCCTAGTCCCTCCCTCAGTGATTAACTGATAACCTTAACAGAGCCACCGTTCCCTATCCTGAAGACAGCATTTGTACAGCTGCCCAATGTAACCAGCTAACCCTCTGCAGAGCAGATCATTTCAAAGTGCATTAGGCTCCTGGGAGTTGAAGAATGACAAGTCAATCTGTTTTTAGTGTTGTTAAGAAAGATTCAGAGGTTTAAAATAGTAAAGAATAGGTTTTATATGGAATCTATTGAATTATGGCAAGATACCAACAGGCATTATTCATAACTATTTTTTAAAGGACCACACCCAACCCAAAAGTAAAAAATGCAGCTAAACACTGCTATCATTTTCAGCTTCAACTATTCCATGCAAGGGCTCCTTTTTCCAGCAGTAAAAACCCTTAGTATCTCATTAACAATACTGAAGTTATAATTAATTCTGCCTGTCAAAGCAATTAAGATCCAATTTTAATAC